TGGGTCAATAGTCGACGAAGTGACAGCGACAACGAGTAATATGGACGAAGCAGGTAGCAGTTGAAGGACGGTGACTGAAGGACAAATTTGAAGAGGTCAAAAGCTCAAGTTGCCCCTGCCCTCAAGAAGATATCTGTCTGAAGCTTTACCGCGCGAAGTCTACCACAGTACAGCTTCATTGCCAATCAGCCATGCGCCACAGACTCGCACGCTGCCGGATTTACACTCCACCCGAGGGTCAGGCGGATGTCAGGCAGCAGGGTTTCCTGGCCTTGGCCCGTGCCTTGACGCCAGCGAAAAAAGAGCCCCGCAAAATTCTTAGCACTTGGCGGCGCACAACTTTCTTGAGAGGCTCGGCCTTCCACCCCGATTTCATCCAAACCCCTCCATCGTCGCTCAACTCCCATAAAGCCCTTCCTCTCTCGCCGCCCTCTTCGTTCCTTTTTGAACATTGCACATCATTTACGCCAACAACACCCGAACCACCTACCTCCTTCACTACTATCCTCAAAATGGCGGACGATGCCCAGGTAATTACTGCCCCTCCCCGCGCCTGTCCTGTACCCCGCTTTTATGGATTGTCGCCTGTTGCCACATCGCGTGTGCCGTCAAGACACTGCCATTTTTCACTCAACGAGAGATGCTAACCTCTTGTCCGCGATACAGCATGAGCACACCTTTGAGAGCGCCGATGCCGGTGCCTCGACCACCTACCCGATGCAGTGCTCTGCTCTGCGCAAGAACGGTTTCGTTGTGATCAAGAACCGTCCCTGCAAGATTGTCGAGATGTCGACCTCGAAGACCGGCAAGCACGGCCACGCGAAGGTCCATCTCGTTGCCATCGACATCTTCACTGGCAAGAAGCTTGAAGATCTCTGCCCGTCCACCCATAACATGGACGTTCCCAACGTTCGCCGCCAGGAGTACCAGCTCGTAAGTGGCGCAACATTTGTGAATGGGGCGCATTTGCTTATCAACTTAAGCTTGACGTGACTGATGACGGTTTCCTGTCCCTGATGTCCGACGACGGCTCCACCAAGGACGATGTTAAGGTCCCGGACGGCGAAGTCGGTGACAAGATCAAGAAGCTCTTCCATGAGGAAGGCAAGGACACTAGTGCGTCTCTACATCATTTGCAAGAGTTTAAATGCTAACGAGTGCAGACGTCATTGTCCTGACTGCCATGGGCGAGGAGGCTGCGATTGACGCTAAGGAGGCCCCGAAGTAAATGGGCGGTACAGTTGGAGAGATTTAACGTCGCTTTGCGTGTCCAAACGCACGCGGCCAGGCAGTTGGTAGCGTTTAAATATTCTCCAAAGTGTTGAAAAGGACGTGGAAAGGGCTATGGTGTGTGTTTTCCATGTTTACGAGCATGGGTTCAAGCTAGATCACTACAGCCGGGCGCCAGTGCAGGCGGATCGTGATACCTGGCGAGGATTATGCAATTGACTTAAACGACGATTTTCTTAATGCTCTTGTAACTTGTGGCGACATGGCCAACACCATGCGGTCGAAGGACTCGTGACCTCGGACCTCAGCATCAGACAGCTGCAGCCAAGATTGCTCGCCTTCCATAACTCCAACATCGATGCAAACCGTGATTACCAAACCATCATTAGTTCGAGTAGCGCCTCCTCAGAAGATTAAAACTTGATTACTCCTTCGCAGCCTGGCGGAAAGTACCGCCCATTATGCGTGGTGAAGTCTGTGGAATTGACGGGTGCCGCTCACGACGGTATCGCGCTGATGAATCGGGCCAATTCTTCTGCCAAAACGGTCATCTTAGAGAAGGCGCGCGTGTGCGTCCACCAGAAGATGAGGATGCTTTCACGGCCGGCGGCCAGGGCCGGACGACAAGGCGACAGAAGGAGGCGGCGGAGTCTACTCGAAAACGTGGGGCACTCTTTCCGCTTTGATGCTGCTCAGAGGCGTGGGTAGAGATGGCTAACGCCCTCATGCAGATTTCCGTGGCCGAAGAGCTTTTGAGCTCTATTTGCTGGCCTCTCAGTTAGTGCTGAGGAAGCAAGTATGGTCTCTGATCAAGGAAAAGGGATTTCCTGAGGAATTGGAGGTAAGTTGAATCACCTTCGCCATCTGATACAAATAAACCTTTGGGCGATCTAAGCGGATCACATATACTTATGGGGTGATAGATGATAGTCCACGATCTATGGGCTCTTCGTTTGCAAAGTCTATCCACATCCATGGATACAGACCCATTCTCCGACACCGAAAGCCAGACACCAATGTACAGCTCCCAATCCGAGGACACAGGCGCAGAAAGCGACGCAACGAGCGTGGTTAGAACCCGCTCCACACCAAAACTCGTTCACATGCTTGCTCTCTGCTACATGGGCGCCTACCTCCTCCGGCTGCCCGTGTTCTTCAGCGACTTCTTTACGTGGGTCACAGAAGGTGAGCTCCTCTACTACCGCGCCATCAATGCCATTCCCCACGAAATGCGGAATCGTATGCCGGGCAGCTACCAGCAACTTCTCGATCCACGGACCACGCTCAACACGCGAAAGTTGCATAAAGCGGTGGTCCAGCTCTTCCACTCGCACCAGCGCGACTTCGGGTTCATCCTCCCACCGCTCAATTTCCCGCTGCACCTGTTTCGCTACATCAAAGAGCTAGCCTTGCCGCTCGAGGTGTACCCGGCAGCCCGGCGGCTTGCGGCTTTGGCTAAGTTCGACTTCAAGTATCCTGATAAGCCGCATCGACGCCGGGCTGCTGATTGTCCTGAGTTGCAGCTCATTTCGACGGTGATAGTGGCTGTCAAGTTGCTGTACCCTATGGACGGCATCAAGCGTTATCCCACCAAAGACGATGAGCCGAGTGCCGCAATCATAGATTGGGAGTCTTGGGACATGGCTACGAAGGCATACGAAGATACCTTCAAGAACCCGGATCGGTTAGGGTACAGCGAGGCAATGCAGGTGAAGGAGGCGGATGTGCTGGACATGTCAGAAGAGAAGCTGGACGACTATCTGGACTGGTATTCAAAATCGTGGCTAGCAGGCGAGGAGGAAGGAGTGACCGGAGATGCAGACTTCCGACGCGCTATCTTCGAGATGTTTCCAGTCGGCGAGAGTGGTGCTGTGCCAGCACAGAAGCCGACGAGATATGAGATCGAGAGGCTCAAGATTGAGAAACTGCGCGCCGTGCAGACGAGTCTGAAGCCGCGCAGGGCTATTACTGAAGATGAAGAGCTTGAGCTCGGAAGATCAGTCCCACGGCCGGGGAATCATTATCGGCGGTACCGCAAGGAGAGTGAGTTGGAGGGCTACGTTAAGCGGTTTTACGAGGTCGCGGCGAGACTGGCAGGCTTTCCGTTAAAGACAGTTGTTGATAGGGTCTTTGCGGTGGAAGTGGAGTTGATACGACAGGTGAAACGGACGGCGGACCAAGAGGAGGATTTGGACGACGGCATGAGCGGCATGAGCATTTCATGATGGTATTGGGAATCTAAGAGAGGAGTAAATGGGCACACGGCGTCTGGTGCGGAATTCAAACGATTGATACCCGTAGAATAGCATCTGCGATCTTCATGATTCTATGGCCATCGACTTAAATTCCAATTTGTGCTGGACCGAACATTTGAGTTGAGGTAATTGGTGATCAGTCGATGACATTTTGTTGGCCTAGTGTGAAATAGCGCCACCCTGATCGGGGGCGGAGGCTTGGCGCCGGCTCGCTTATTCCCTCGTCCGCCCCCTCCCACAAATCCTATATCATCAACCACCCTTACAGCGACCATCCACCAAGTCCCTTCACGATAGTGTCGCAGCCAGTACGTATCCCATGCCCATCGAACAGTTAGCAGTAGAGCACGATGCTAACCTCATTTCTCACCCACAGTGCAGATGTACGCACCCCACGACCGCACCGCTCCGGCCATCCGCTAACAGCAGCAGCTTCGTGAAGACCCTGACGGGCAAGACTATCACCCTCGAGGTGGAGTCGAGCGACACGATTGACAATGTCAAGACCAAGATCCAGGACAAGGAGGGCATCCCGCCTGACCAGCAGCGCCTGATCTTCGCGGGCAAGCAGCTCGAGGACGGCCGCACGCTGAGCGACTACAACATCCAGAAGGTGCGGACGCTCGCCACCCGGCATCGGGTCTCGAAGCATGGAAACGCTGCTAATGCATCTCGCAGGAGTCGACTCTGCATCTCGTCCTCCGTCTCCGCGGCGGTCTCATCGAGCCCTCGCTCAAGGCCCTAGCCTCCAAGTACAACTGCGAGAAGATGATTTGCCGCAAGTAGGCCGCCCACACTCCGCCTCTACCATCAAAAGCTAACCACCATAGGTGCTACGCCCGTCTCCCGCCGCGTGCCACCAACTGCCGCAAGCGCAAGTGCGGTCACAGCAACCAGCTGCGCCCGAAGAAGAAGATAAAGTAGACGACGGCTCTTCGGCCTGGCTGGCGCTGTTGGGGTTGCGGGTGTTTTCTTGCCTCGGACGGTGTAGACTAGGACTCATTTTACATGGCCGGGTAGGAATGCAATTATGAACTCGAAGACTGCTCCTGGTGTCGAGTCCTGGTATTCTGGGGATGCTGTGGGGTTTACCTGATGAAGTATCGGTTTGCTGGGGTAGCGTATCCAACAAGAATGATCCAATTCCTCCATATATCCTTGCAGTGTGCTATCTTAACCTTTCTTACGCGTGTGCTCGAGCTTCCAGCAGTGTGTTGCCAGCGGCTATTTCAACGGCCTCTTTCCATGGCTACTGCTTCATCAGGGGCCATTCCAGCGTCCTTTCTTTGCTACGATTCACTCCGCTCGCAAAGAAGGCGCCCAAGCCTCTGCCTAGCCACAGGCAATTTTCCAAAAGAAGAGGCCGCACCCACTCCGTCCTATTGCACGTTACACTGCAGTAGCATACATCCGACCATCTACCTTTCATCCCAACTCCGGAGAACCAAAATGACTTCTCACCGCCGACCCCCGCCCGTCTTACACCCCTCCAGGCCTCGAGGATGGAAAAAAAGAAGCCCGAGGCGAGGCTCGAACTCGCGACCTTGAGGTTTCAATGCTTTGAGGCATAAGAGCCACACGCTCTACCGATTGAGCTACCCGGGCATTTCTTGCTGCACCGAAATCCCAAACATCAATATGTACAGTTTTATGGCGTGTGTGCCGAGGTTCGGCTCGGCAGGGGCGTTGATTGGCTGGTTTGGGCAGCGGGACTCAAAAAACGTCATGTGAGAGCGCGATGGCTGACGTCACGCGTGGAAGGGCAAGGCTGAGTCGCGTGTGAGGGGAGAGGTGAGGGGGAGGTTAAAAGTTTGGGAGGACGTGAACTGCATTGTAAGAGGTAGGAGGGCGGTATTTCTTTTGAAGATGGATGACGAAGTGGGACTGGTGTGTGTAGTTGTTGGTTGTTGGTTGGTTTTTGGGTTTTTGGGTTTTTGTTGTTAGATTTGGTTGCAAGGCTGAAAATGGATTTGCGGGGTGGAAAATTCGGGTTGAGGGATTGACGTCTTTTCTGCTAGACAGAGGGATGGAATGGAATGGTGCTAGTGAGGGAGAGTTTTTGAGTGATTTTGAGGAGGTGCGTAGCGGGAGGTGGGTGTTGAGTAGGTTTTGCGTGTACGGAAATGAGGGTTGTGATGGAAGTTGCGACCGAGAATCTTAACTCCGGGGCCGGAGGACGAGAATAAGGTAAAGCTGCAGCGGTTCTACTTATGTCGTTATGGGTAGGTATACGCGGTGGGAGCAAGTCCACGAATAGATTTGGGAATGTGGACAGGATGCCATGTAACGGAGCCCGCATATCAGTCGTGAAGCCGCTGGCATCAAGTTAGGAATTCAGGGGCGATGACATCGTCCGTCGGCTTCAAGCGACGCGCCGGATTCGTAAACGCCCCCTCGCACACAATCACGGGCCACACATCACACACAGCCTCAGCAAGTGCAACACATCCGACTTTTACTGTAAACTAGCATACAGCACAGCGCAGGCCATTTCAGCCAACCAGGCCACAAACACAAACATGCGGTGCGGACCCTCGCGACCGACTCGCCAAAAAGAAGCCATAAATCCGTTCCATACCGCCGTTAGGGACCCGTGGTATCGAATGCGCGAAAACGCCGAAGCCAATATAGACGTTGGGAAAGGGACCAGTGAGGTGATAGTGGTACATGGGAGTTCGAGCCGGAAAGGGAGGATGGGGGAAGGGTAGGGAAGATTCGCTGTGATGTCGAGGAGACGCAAAGGGTGGATGAAAGGGAAGATATAAACAAAAGCAATGCCCTGAACACTGCAATTCCAGGAGGGTATTGCCCACTTAACGCCGAACACCATGCTAATGTGTGTAGAATGGAAGGGAGAAAACGGGGGCGGAGAAGTCATGAAGGGCATAAACCTCAAGCGTGAGGCTCATGGGATTGAAGAGGGATATAAAGAGAAGAGGTATATAGGTCGACCAAGAATCAGGATGCCAATCGTGAGTCCGCCCAAGGCAAGCTATGCAGTGCACAAAACCCAAAATCCAGTTCCAAGCTAGTTGCGCGGCTTCTTCCAGTAGTATTGCTGTAGCGGTCAGTACAAAGCTCCTTGTTGAACTCCAAGTTGTGCTCACCTTATGACTCTTTCGCACTTCCCGCAGGCCCGTCCGTCCCATTCCGGCCGTCACCGCCTCCCGCCGCATGGTGTTGTCGTCCATCTCGGGCAGGTAGTAAAACTCGTCCTCCAAAGGCTTGCCCGCAGCATCCTTGCCCTCGCGCTTGATCTCGCCCACGCACGGAATCCCGAACAGCATACTTTCCAACTCCTTCGCGCCAAGATCCGCCGCATCGGCCGATGTACTCTTCTTCAGATCCTTGGGCAGGGCGCTCATTATAGTGCTAAGGGGAATCGAGTGTACGCGAGAAAAGGCGAGCTGGTTAATGACATGGTTCTTGATAGGGCTCGTTTTGAAATGTTCAGTTGACACGATGGTGCTGGAGGATCGCGATGCTGCTGAGTTCGAGCTCGGAGCACTTTTACGCGTTTTACTGCGACCGCGGGGTCGAAGAGGAGACTTATTGAAAGAGGCGAGACTCGAGAGGATACTAGAACCAGCAGGACCGAACGAGTGGATCAAGGGATCGTTCTCGTCATCATTGGCATCGTCAGCGTCCGACTCGGCATCGTTCTCATTCTCGTTCTCGTTGTAGAAAATTGTCGGCTGCGGAGTGCTGCTCGAAGGTGCGGTAGGCTCGGCCTTGTCGTCTTCGTACACGGTGATAGTGGCGTGAGAGTCGCCTAAACCGATTTGGGTTGTGATTGACATGTCAATCGCGGGAGCAGGTGATGACGCAGGTGACGGCGGATCCATCGGCATTGGCGGCGGACTTGACGCGAGATTCGCAGCCGCACGGCCAAACGCGCGTGTGGGGGACACTTCCTCCGTCCCGCTCCGTGATGATGGAGTGGGCTCCACATCCACCAACGCTTCCTGCGGCCATCCGACCACCACACGCGAGCCATGAGCATCGATCATAACCGTAGCCGCCACTTCGCTCGTATGAAACGCCTCTTCCTTGTGCAGCTCGTATATCTTTCCCTGACAGTGAATTTGAGCTCCGTTCCAGCCAAGACATTCGATCAAGATCATCCGGTCGTTGGGATCGTACCACGCGCTCAAATGGACGCGGGAGATGAGCGTGTTGGAGTGCATTTTGACGTCGGCGGACTTGGATGAGCGACCGAAGGTGACGGGGCGGCCATTGGCTGGTAGCACGACGGTAGGCACATCGGAGAGGGGCTCACGGTCGATGCGTAGAGGCGAGAAGCTTTCGCCATCCAGGAGGTGAGGAGCTGGTGACGTGCACTCTAATCCGAGTGATGAGGTTGGGACGGGAGTGGGGTAGAGGTTGTCCTGCTCGAGGACATCACGTTTCCGCTTGCCAGCCGAGATGGGGGATGAGAAGAGCTCGACAGGCGGGAGGAGACCGCGCGGACGCGTGGCATCACGACGCGCCGATTGCAATCCACCGAGCGAATTTGGCTTGGAGGGGGATGAACTGTCCATTTCGAGGGCCAGGACGCGTTTTGGCGGCCTTGAGGTTGGTATCGAAGGTTCAAGACTCGAAGCTGTTCGGATGCCGTTGGGAGGAGAGGCGGGTATCAACTTACGCGAGTGCAGCAGAGGCAGGCGCGCGTATGCAGCTGAGAGCACAAGTGGGTTAAGAGACGAAAAGAGACGCAGTCGAGGCTGAGAAGAGAAGAAGGAGCAGAGGAAAGGAAAAGAGAATGTGAGGGTTTTGAGAGAGGAAGAGACGCGCGAATGGTGGTGGGTCAGTCAAGGTTTGACTTTGGGGTTGGGTTGTGGGCCAGCAAAGTGGAGAGGGGGAGGTGGGTTTGGGGAGTGGGCACTGCCGTCTCTTTTTGCTGGGCACTGGTAGCAAGCACAGGCACACTTGGGACGTGACTTTTTTGCCTGGAGGCGTGTGGTTTGAGCGTGTAGGCGTGTCTGTGGTAAGTGGGAATAATGGGAATGGGTGTAAGGGCCGGTAGGCAGGCCGTGGGGCGCGGCGGCCGGTGCGGACACGGCGGACGCGGTACATCAAGGACACCCGCAGCGCGCGCGACTCCGCGAGTGCACGCACCTTATTTGTCTGGTCCAGCCAGTCGCCATTTACGCCGTCCATGGCGGGCGCGGGGGAGGAGTGACAAGACTACGGTAGATTGATAGTTTTATCCATGGCGCCGCCTTCTAATCCGTAATGCATATTATCTTCTTCGACCGTCGGAGAGAAAGCTGCCTCTGGGAAAGCTGTGGTGATGCCATCAGAGACAGCAGAGATCTGATACCCGATCAAAGAAGAAGACGCGAACGAACCATTATTCTCTCCCCCTCCCCAGTCAACTCCAACTGCAAGACTCGACTCAGCCTGCGTTTCAAAAGCAAGGCGATGCATAATCTCGCCCCGATCTCTATTTCTCCTCCTTCTCCCTCCCGGTCGGCTTGCTGGCCCGAAAGGAACACTCGCTCAGCCTGATTGCTGCATCAATCCCAGCCACTTTCACCCATCCCGCGACCGCGATTCCTCGCGCCCACGCGTCCAAGTGGTCCGCTAAATACGCGCCAGCCCACCGCGATCCCACCGCTCCCCATCGCTGCATATTTGGCATATTGATACGGAGTATTGCCCGGGCTTATTCTCCCCCACCTTGCTTTGCCGATTGCTGTATGTCACAGCTCGCTCGTCCTGTTCCCGGAAAGTGGGAAACAAGAGAGCTGTATCTACCCTCCCGACGCTATGCACTCTGCACGCAGACGCGGACACGCATTCGCGAGTAAAATCCCATTGACACCCGCTTTCCACGCGGCGATGGCCCCCCTCGGCCCGCTTGCTCTCGCCCTGCCTCTCGCGTGGGGTTAACCCACAGCTCGCCCTCCGCGTGCACATCGTGTTTGCGTCATGAGGCGGGCACGTTTGACCCAATTCCTCCCGCCGGCTCGCGCGTAGCGGGGCAGACCGCAGAGAGCTCCAACGGCGCGTCTCGAGTATCCACTAGCGGGGAGCATCCTCGGCCGGTGGGGCCAGGTCAATGCCGCTAGAACGCGTCTCGCACTTTCTCTTTAACACTTCCCCCGCCTCTCTGTCAGCCGAGCCGTGCCCGTACGACACCCGCAACGCGTTTGGGGAGGCTGGTCGTGAAGAAGAAGCTCCGCCAGCGTTTCGAACAAAGTGTGTCTTCTCTTCCGCAACTCTCGCGTGCCTCGGACGACTCCACCAGTGTATGACTAACTATCGGGCAACACGACGTGACGGCCGGCACGAGTTTGAGTCTCTCCGCGCCATGCCGGCCTCTTTGCCTGCTTGTGTCCTTGTCTTTCCGGTTTTAGTAGCCTTGAAGGCACCCCGCAGGAGCTGAGATGCACCTCACTTGCTCCAGGTTTTTTCTTAGCTTCTTTTCGGGCCTTGAAGAATCAATCCCTCCCAGCCTCCCCCCACCCCACCCCGCACCTGACACAATCGCGCTTTTCTGAAGAGGGGGATCAACTCCAGCTTCCCCTCTTCGCGAACCATAATTCACGTCTTACTCGCGATATTCTGCTAGGGTCTCAGGAGGGAAAACTTTGCTGCAG